CAACTTTTCTACTTTAGTCTTAAAACTAAAATGCATTCTTTCAAATTTGAACTCCAAATTTTGATTTTCCTCATATAAAGTATAATGCTATGAACCTTATTAAAATAAAATTAATATTCTCAAATTCCTCAAATTTTCTATTAATCCTTGTCTTGTCTCATATAATACTATTGCTCTGCTGTATTGTTGTATATTGCAATGCAAACAGAACAATATTTTATGAAAAAAAGCATGTCTATTGTTAAACCTTATTGCAATTTGATTCTAGCCAAACATGATGGTACAGCATCCAAAATGGCTCTTGCATCAAGATAACTGAATCAACCAACAATACATGTTGAAATCTTTTGAACATTCATACAGGAGCCATATTAATCATATAGATATGCTAACACTTTATCCATAGATTAAAATAGTTTAAAAAATAACAATTATTAATTCATTAGTGCATTACTGTTCACTGTATCAGGTACTAAATTATGTTTCTTGTATTTTTAATTAGGCTGCAGTTTCAAAAAATTGTAGACCTATAAATTCCCATTGTCATCCATTATCCATTCGTTTGTCTTTTCTTAATCTCAAAAACAAAGTTAGATAGATGGACATCAACACCAGCTACGGAAAGCTTAAAGACAGGTCTTGATTAACTATATATAAACTTTCAATGCAAACCAGAAGTCACATTATTTCAACTCAAAAATTTTCCCCTAAAAGAAGTTTGCTAGATGACCATGACCAGGATGACTCAATTGCTAACAGAAAAGTATGATGTACAGGGGCAAGACATTACTAATTTAAGTGGAGAGCATATATTTTAATTTAAACAAATTAAAAATATGATTAAAAATTGTAGTCAGGCATTGTGAGGATGTCACAATACATAATTGCTCATTTTATTAATTTTTGCTTGTGTTATTTATAATTTATATTTCTTTATACACAATTAATTTTGAACTGAAGCCATAATTACTGTTTTATGAATATTTTTAAATTTCAGACTTAGATGACTTACATAACTCTTTGTAACAGGCCTAATATAAAATTCAGCTGTGTTGTTACTTCTAGGCAAGAGATGTTCTAGAATATAACTTGCTATATGAATATAGAATATAATTGCTTCAGAATATGGTTTAAATCTGAAAATAACTACTCAAAATAGTTGAAAATGTTTTGTTAATTTATTGCTGAATATTAAAAGTTGTTGTTAAGATACATAAATTATAATTAATTATTACTGCCTTACTGTCCACTAGTTTCTTAATATATATATTTTTTGTCAACTTGGTTATTAATTATTAATAAGACAATTATACTGGTTTTTACATTTTTACGCAAGAATTGAGGAAAAGTTCTTAAAGAAAACAGACTAAAATTGTCAAAAAAATATATATTATGAATTATAATTGTCTAACATTAATATGATAAAATAAAGCTTAAAACTGGGAAAATATCATTAATTCCAATTTCAACAGCTTTTATTAAACTGTTTACTTGAATCTACAAATGTTTTCAGCCCTCTCGATAGACCTGCTTCAGGTAGACCAGGTTTTCCCAACAGTTTTGACCCTTTAAGGGTCAATACAATTTTGAAAATATAAAAAAATTTATTTAAAAATACAGTAGAGCATCGATTATCTGAATCAACTGGGGACTGGGGTTGTTCAGAAAATTGATTTTTCAGATAACCGATTATGTATGAAAAAATACATTATTAATATAGTATATTAGTATATCCCAATAATAGTATATTAATATGTCCCATGTTTAAATTTCTCTCTGTTGCATACCACTTCACATTGAATTTTCGTCAATGTTAAGCCTAACAAAAATTTTTATAATAATAATCATGGCTATTGTATCATTAAAGATTATTTCTTTATTTTGTACAAACAAAATAAATATATTGAAAAATATAAAAACAAAATTATACTTTAGAAGGTAATCTAGTATCAAGAACATTTGACTCAGCATGACACGGTCTGACTGGAATGCTTTCAGTTAACCGACATTTTGGGTGATCGGCANTTTGTTCCTCCATTTCTCAGAACTGGTCATCCCACCCAAGGGACAGGGATTAAGATAAGAAAGTTCTAGAAGGAAATAGAACAATAGGACAAAGGTTAGAAAGAAGAGACTAAACTAAACTTAAATTAATATGTACAAAAATATAGCATACAGCTACAATACCACATTATACTAAAATTCTAAAACCATTTTTGAACCAAAATCTCCTATTTTTTGAAACTATCTATACTATGCAGTCTAATATAAACATTCCAAATAGGGATATCCCAATACTGTCAATACTGATACCATATCGCAACTTTTCTTCGATACTGATTCGATTCTTCAATATTGTACTCAATACATTTGGTCCAATACTGATACCGGTATTGATACTTTTTCCCATGTATCAGATCTGGTATTGTTACATTTTTCACAAGCAACTAAAGTCTGTCTGAAACTGGATTTTGCAGCTGAATCAGAAACTGAAATAGAATTATACACTATTTTTGGTTAAGTTAGACTTATATAAAACATATTAATGATCAAAAATCAATAAATGTATTAGGTCAAATTTTATTTCCAGAATGTACATATGCTAATTCTGTTACTTATTTCTTTATTTGTATGTGGCTGAACGCCATAGTTTAAACTGTATAACTATATATATAATATAATTATAGTTATAATTATGTAATAATTGTATGGTTATAAATATATATATATCACTTTAACTTTGTCTATCCTATTTGTTTACTTTTTTTCATCTTCCCATTGACTTCAGTGAATGGAAAGCTTTTGAGAGGGGGTCTGAGTGGACTAGGGTGAGAGGAGGAACGAGGGGGAAGTAAGAAGGGGGAGAACGAAGGGAGTGAGTGGAGACGAAAAACGAAGGCAGACGGGAGGTGAGAGAGGAAGGTGGTGGAAGCATCGTCAGGTGAAGGAGGAAGGAGGACAAAGGAAGAGACGAATAAAGGAATTTCTTCCCTGTAAGTTTAGCATCTTACAGGGAGAAATCAAATAGTAAACGTTGGAACGATAAAGGAAAAAGGAACTTTATTGAGAGGAGATTCAGCATCGCATTGGATAAGCGATGTCCCGGGAACTGGAAAGAAAAGGAATGAATTGTGCGAGAATTGAGAGGCATCGACCATCACAAGGAGCTCCAATTACCAAGTTTGGGTACCCTCTGTTCTATCGCTCATCTTTTTCTTCCAAACCTATTCTATTCTATACTAACCCTTAGGAATAAGAGACTAGCATAGATTACTTAGTTTAAGGGTCTGTAACTACACGTGCATTTTCCTGTCGCGTTGTATATTACTCGGTGATTTATTAATTGTGCGTATCGTTCGGTGGATCTNCTCATCTTCTTCTTCCAAACCTATTCTATTCTATACTAACCCTTAGGAATAAGAGACTAGCATAGATTACTTAGTTTAAGGGTCTGTAACTACACGTGCACTTTCCTGTCGCATCGTATATTACTCGGTGATTTATTAATTGTGCGTACCGTTCGGTGGATCTAGATTTAAGTTGGTATCCTTGTAACCTGTATCAACTGGGCGAGTGAATAAAATTTTTGTATTTTTAATTAATTAATTTCGTTTTGTTTGTTTACTTCCCGCCCGTTGATCTTACATTGGACTTAGTATATTAATAGAACTTGTTATACTGCTGTTGTTTCAGTTTTTGCAAATAGAGGAGATCTTATTTAGAAAAATAAATATGTTAAATTTTCTAAAGAATATAAAAAATTAAGATCTGTTCTAATTCTAACTCATAATAACTCCACAGATATAATGAAATAAAAAAATATATATTTTAATGAAAGTTACTTGCATAAACATTATTTTTCATTTTACTTGTTTTAAATTTTATTATTTACTTGACTTGGTACTTATGAGCTATTTTAAAAACTAATCTTATCAATAAATTAACAATATAAAGTGGTGCCATGTACTTCAAATTTAATTCATTCCAAGAAACCATTTGAACTGTGAATGATTAAAAATCTGAATCAATTTTTCCCATTAGAAATAATTGAAAGTAAATTATCCATTCACAGACCCTAAACAATACTCATTTCAATAAACTTAAAACAGCAAATATACATAATTTAAGGTAAAAATAACCCAATTAAATGCTCTAATAATAAATTAAAACATGAAAACAATAAATAAAATACATAAATACTATATAATAAAATGAAAATTGCATTTACTGGTCATATACCATCAACTTTGGCATCTTAAACATGTCTGCCAGATCCACCAGACATATAACACTTTTATTCTTCTCAATAAATTCCTTTTTTGCACCTCAATCATTTCTTAGACTTTGTTGCTTCCATACAGTAAATGTTATATCAGGTTGAACAGAAACTTTTCACTTATTTTTAACAGCTGTTATTACTTAATGTGTGATTTAATTATAACATTTGTGAAACGTAAATTATTACTAATGTGAGGTTGAATTCTTTGTTTAGAAGCTTATTTTAAATTTTATACTGTATTTCACATTTATTTGAATAAAATCAAATTGAAATGTCTTCAGAATAAAACAGCAAATCAGACATATTATGCTTTGAGTTTTGGAAAGGATATAATGCCATATAAACAGTAAAACAAATTCATAATGTAAATGGGAAAGATACTCCTAAACTTCAAACATGCTAAATATGGTTTAAAAAGTTATGTTCCAAAAATTTTGAACTAAAGGATACAAAATATACAAGATTCCCATAAGCTGTCAATAAAGAAAAATTGCAGGAAAGAATTGTTAAAAAAAAATATATATATATATATAACGAAACACACCAAAAATTAAGTAAGAGTGTAACACAAAAGTGATAGTGAAAGACAATTTGAATGCACAACAGATTGCACTTACACTTCAAGTGTACTTTTTTACTGCATGTACAGTTCAAACTTTGAAGCATTCAAAGTACAAAGTACCACTGTATTGATTATTAAAATAATTCAACAATAACATACCTGGACGAAAATCATTGCCCCATTGAGAACAACAATGAACTTCATCAATAGCAATTCGAGAAAGTCTATTTGATTCATACATTTTTTCTAACTTTGACATAAATCTTTTGCTTTTAGCAAGTTTTTCTGGTGTTACATATAACAATTTTAATGTAGAAGATTTATCGGTCATAGCCTTATGAACAGAATTAACTTCCTCTTTTGAACACGAAGAATTTAAAAGTGATGCATCTACTTGAAGATTTTTAAGTGCCATCAACTGATCTTCCATTAATGATACCAATGGAGAGATAACTAAAGTTGTTCCTTCAAAAAATAAAAAATATTCTTAACCATGAAATTATTTTATTATATTTTATAAATAAATAATCAAAACAAAAACTATAAAACTATATATATTATTTATCCTTTNTATACTTGTTTGAACTGACATTTGTAAAATTTGAATACAATAAAGAACTTTCAATGTAAAGACATTGTTTTACCTCTTCTTCAACAATTTCTTATCCACCCCTATCCCAATAGTACCCACAGAACCCATTAACAGGAATGTACATCTGGGACTTCTTTTGTGTACTGTACATAAGATATCATATGAGTGTAAACTGAAGTACTGACTGACGTGCTGACTCCTGAAGCAGGTAGCTAGAATTCAATTCCCCAGGTAAGCAATAAAGTATTAATTTCTGCTCTGGGTCAACTTAGCCTTCATTCTAATGAGAACAGTACTTTCTCAGCAGTAAAAACAACTGGAAGGCAATGCAACAGACTGAACAGCAACAGCTGGCAAGATTTTATGTTTTTATACCCTCAGCCAATACTCGCTGGTATTGATACTTTAAGATTGATACTGATCTGATACTGGTATTGACACTTTAAAACTACTCATGATGCTGGTATTGATACTTTTGTGGTATCAGGACATCCGTAATCCCGAAACCTGATATTTTAGTAATATGCCAAACAACTGCCAGATTAAAGTGGCAAGAGTAGCCTGATTTAATCCAGAAGTCATTTGGCATATTTCTATGCAGTCTCTTCTGTGTAAAACGTTTTGGTCCAATACAACAGCTTAAGGTGATTATACATTTATTTGGGAGTGTTTTTATTTATGTATTTAATATATTTATCTAAAACCTATTAACATTTACACAATTAATAGATACAATACATATGATACAAATCTGTTATTAAGGTAATTTATATACATGTATTCAAGATATTTTTGTTTAAATACTTTTTTCCCCTCTTTCACAATAATTTTTACTGATTTTTCAAATTTGTTAAGGAAGATTTGTTCATATTGAGGAATAAGTTGGTGTTCTTATTTAATTTGATTTTAAGTTAAGAAAATTTATTTTAAAATAAAATTTAAAATATTATGAATTCAATTTTTCATTAAAATTTTTGAAAAAGTTAATTAAAAAATTTTGCTTGTGAATTTTGTAAATAGGTAAAGTTTCTTTTAACATTAATTTTAATTCTATGAAAGAAATTGTGAAATAAAGATTATTTTACAAAGTAACAAACTAATTGTTATATTTTTTTGAGTGCACAGATTTATTTATGGTTTAACAGATAAGATTGTTATAAACAATATGTAAATGGAAAATATATAAAATTATAAGTGTTTTTCAATGATCTTTGTATAAAAAGACTAGACAATAGACTAACAATGTTAATATTCAACTACATTAAAATTCAATTTATGAAGGTGAATCAGAAAATAAAGGCAATTTCCTTATAACAACTGTATTTCCACTGATGGAGAACAAATGCACATGTCACTTTTCTACATAGTCCCCCTGCACAGCAATGCACTTCTGGTATCAATCAATGAGCTTCTTAATTTCTTCTAAAAAGAAGCTTTTTAGTTACTCATTAAGCCACATCTGCACTGCTTGCTGAACCTCACAGTCTGAGCTGAACCTGCAATCACATAATGTCTCCTTCAAGAGGTTGAAGACATGGTAATCACATGGTACTAGATTGGGACTATAAGGAGGACACAGAAGCAATTCAAATTCAAACTGTTGTGCAGTCTGTACCATTTGTGTTGCTGTATGTGGTTGTCATTGTTGTGGAGCAGTAGCACTTCTTTGGACCAGCAGTCTGTGTCATTTTTGATGAATTGGTCTTGCAGCAAAGCACAAGACCAATACATTGCACTGTTTACAGTTTCATCATATACCTGGAATGCCATCAGAATATTAGAGAGCATTAGCTTTAGTTTTTTGCAGGATGGTTGTTTGAATTTCTTGCAAACAGGGTAGGACAGATGTTTCTACTCCATGTTTTGCCTCTTGCTTGCCAGTTTTTATTGGTGTACCCATATCTCATCACCTGTCATTTGTTCCAAGGTACTGGGATCTTCATAGCATTGGAGAAACCAAGTTGCAAAATCTACATGCTGCTGCCTATGCTGAGTTGTAAGATGTTTGGGCCCTGCTGTACACAAACTTTATGGTATACCAAGTCATCTTGCACTATGGCTTGTACAGATTCATAATATGTCCATGATTTTTGTTATTTTTGCTAACATTGGTTGTCAGTCTTCTATGATCAAGGAATTTGCCTTCTGTAAGTGTTGCTTCATGTGTGATATTGATGGGTGATCATGTTGGCTTTCATCCATCACACTTATTCTTCTCTTTTTAAAGTGTGCCTTATCCACTCATAGATGCATGTTGTGTGTGCAATACTGTGCCAACATCCAGTGATGGATTTCTGCAGGTTTAACCCCCTCTGCTCACAGAATGGCATGTTGTTCCTCAATGGTGCAATCACTTAGTGGAACATCCATACTTCCAACATCGTTGCTTGCTGCAATTTGACTAAATGATGGAATGCTGGGTGGGACTAGCTACCAATCAGCCCATGTGCAGACATGGCGTTGCACGTCAGTGTCAATTTCTTATTTTTACTGATTACTTTCAAAATTGACTTTACTTTTTGATTCACCCTTGTATTTACTCCTTTTATTTTTAATGTATTAAGGATATTTAAAAAAGTTTACTATAAATAATTTTAGTCAGTATTTTTAAATTAATTAATCATTTAAAATTAATCATTTTAAAAACTTTTTTCAATTATTTTTTGTTTAGATTTTAGAAAAATTGCGTGATGATACTGAGGTACAAATTCAGAAATACTGTGGATTATTTACGACTTTACCTTCATTAACATCATCATCACATATAGCTATTGTACGATTTAAAAGTGATCATAGTATTTCTTATGATGGATTTCGACTAGAGTGGAAAGTTGAAGGTAATATAAAATATACAGTAAATCTTCAATTAAACAGAATTCAGATCTAACAGACAAAAAATTTGTCTTGTAGGAAAAATTAAAAACCCTTTTTTGTTTGCAAATAGTGCATGCTAAAAAGATTTGAAGGAGTCAATGAGTATAAATTACTCAATAAACATTATCATATTATTTTATTTATATTTATACATCATAATATGTTGTAACTTATCTTGCACATTTTAAGTTCATTATAAATACATCTTTTTAAAAACATATTGAATTAAACAGACTTTTGGTAATAATATATATTCTTTTCCCCAATTAGTTTCTTAAATTGAGTGTTTACTGTATTAGTATTTGTAATTTTTTATTTAATATTTAAAACAAATTATAATATGTATTCAAATAAATATATCTTTCTTTTTAAATCTAATTCTATAATTGAAGTGTACATATTTTTAAAATTCTGATGATGCTTTTCTTGCAATTAAACCATAAGAAGAAAGTTTCCTTTGTATAATTTATTGCTTAATGGAAAAGTAATTGTATATCCTTTTGTATTGTGTTCTTTGTAATTGTAAAGATTGGAAGCATGATTAAATCAGTAGTGGAAAATTACTAGTATAGTATGTGGAGAAAAAAATTGCAACATTCTTTACATGTTTATTTATAAATTAAATTACAAAATTCATTCAAAACCATAAACTACAAGTTTGACAATTGTGATTAGTTATATACAGTAGAGCGTCGTTTATCCGAATCAATTGGGGACTGGGGTTGTTCGGAAAATCGATATTTCGGATAACCGATTATGTACGAAAAATATATTAATCTATCCTATGTTGAAATTTTTCTCCGTTGCGTGTTGCTTTGCATTGAATTTTTGTCGATGTTAAGCCTAATGTAAACTTTTTATAATAATAATCGTGACTATTGTATCGTTAAAAATTATTTCTTTATTTTGTACAAACAAAATAAATATATTGAAAAATATAAAAACAATAAAAACTTATACTTTAGAAGTTAATTTAGTATCAAAAATGTAAAATATTTGAGTAGCCCAAGACANCAAAATTATACTTTAGAAGGTAATCTAGTATCAAGAACATTTGACTCAGCATGACACGGTCTGACTGGAATGCTTTCAGTTAACCGACATTTTGGGTGATCGGCATTCAGATAATCAACGTTCTACTGTATATAAAATTTTGAACAGTTTTTGCTCTTAAATAAGTATAGGAAGGTGTTTTTAAAAATTATGTAATAGGCTATGGCATATATATTTATATACAATATAATACAGTATATATAGTACATGGTATAGTTTAGTATAATATAATATTGAAGGGGGTCAATGGAAAAAATTTTTCTTAAAAAGGGTCAATACATGGGTACTGAGAAAGGTTGAAAACTCGAGGTAGACTATTCTGCAAAATAATTTGAATGCAAAAGTGTTCCAATTCAAAATTATAAAATTAAATTTCAAATCATGAACATTCAATGGCCAGACACAAATGAGAAAAAAAAAATACAAATTATTGTTAAAATACATAAGTAAACAATTAATATTACAAAAATAAACTGAGAAGAGAAAAAAAAAAAACGAGANAAATACAGTAGAGCATCGATTATCTGAATCAACTGGGGACTGGGGTTGTTCAGAAAATTGATTTTTCAGATAACCAATTATGTATGAAAAAATACATTATTAATATAGTATATTAGTATATCCCAATAATAGTATATTAATATGTCCCATGTTTAAATTTCTCTCTGTTGCATACCACTTCACATTGAATTTTCGTCAATGTTAAGCCTAACAAAAATTTTTATAATAATAATCATGGCTATTGTATCATTAAAGATTATTTCTTTATTTTGTACAAACAAAATAAATATATTGAAAAATATAAAAACAAAATTATACTTTAGAAGGTAATCTAGTATCAAGAACATTTGACTCAGCATGACACGGTCTGACTGGAATGCTTTCAGTTAACCGACATTTTGGGTGATCGGCATTCAGATAATCAACGTTCTACTGTATATAAAAT